AGACAGCAGTTATCTTCAGAACATTTCTTCATCTTACTTCCACCCTTCTTCCCAACTTTGCTCTGTCTTTCAAAAGCCAGGAGATTTCAACTCTAAAGTCACATTTTGAATTAAATCACACATAGAATCACACACAGAATCCCAAGGGTTGGAAGGGACCTCAAAAGATCATTTAATCCAACCCTCCTGCAAGAGCAGGGTAACCTAGAGTACATGACACAGGAACTTGTCCAGGCGGGCCTTGAATCTCTCCAACGTAGGAGGCTCCACAACCCCCCTGGGCAACCTGTTCCAGTGATCTGTCACTCTCACAGTAAAGAAATTTTTCCTGATGTTCACATGGAACCTCCTATGCTCCAGTTTACACCCATTGCCCCTTGTCCTATCACTGGACATCACTGAAAAAAAATTAGCTCCATCATCCTGACACTCACCCTTTACATATTTGTAGACATTGATGAGGTCACCCCTCAGTCTCCTCCAAGCTAAAGAGTCCCAGCTCCCTCAGCCTCTCCTCATAAGGGAGATGCTCCACTCCCTTAATCATCTTTGTAGCCCTGCGCTGGACTCTTTCAAGCAATTCCCTGTCCTTCTTGAACTGAGGGGCCCAGAACTGGACACAATAATCCCGATGTGGCCTCACCAAGGCAGAGTAGAAGGGGAGGAGAACCTCTCTTGACCTACTAACCACACCCTTCTAATACACCCCAGGATGCCATTGGCCTTCTTGGCCACAAGGGCACATTGTTGGCTCATGGTCATTCTCCTATCCACCAGGATCCCCAGGTCCCTTTCCCCTTCACTACTGTCCAGCAGGTCAGCTCCCAACCTGTACTGGTACATGGGGTTGTTCTTCCCCAGATGCAGGACTCTACACTTGCCCTTGTTGAATTTCATCAAGTTTCTCCCCACCCAACTCTCCAGCCTGTCCAGGTCTCCCTGAATGGCAACACAGCCCTCTGGTGTGTCAGCCACTCCTCCCAGTTTAGTATCATCAGCAAACTTGCTGAGGGTACATTCAGTTCCCTCATCCAGATCGTTGATGAAAATATTAAACAGCACTGGTCCCAGCACCGACCCCTGAGGGACTGCACTAGCCACAGACCTCCAGCTAGATTCTGCCTCATTAACCACAACTCTCTGCCTTCTTCCTTCCAACCAGTTCTTGATCCACCTCACTACCTGATCATCAAGCCCACACTTCCTTAGCTTATCTATGAGGATGCTGTGGGAGACAGTATCAAATGCCTTACTGAAATCAAGAAAAACCACATCTACCGCTCTACCATCATCCATCCACCTAGTTACTTGCTCATAGAAGGCTATAAGGTTGGTCAAACATGACTTCCCCTTCGTAAAGCCATGTTGGCTGCTCTTAATGACCCCCTCATCCTTGATATGTCTAGAGATGGTGTCAAGAATAAGTTGTTCCATCACCTTTCCAGGGATGGAGGTAAGGCTGACCGGTCTATAATTACCCAGGTCCTCCTTCTTGCCCTTCTTATAGACTGGCGTGACATTTGCCATCCTCCAATCCTCAGGCACCTCACCTGTTTCCCATGACTTACCAAAGATGATGGAGAGTGGCCCAGCAATGACCTCCGCCAGCTCCCTCAGCACCCGCGGGTGTATTTCATCCGGACCCATCGATTTATAGATGTCCAGATTGCTTAACTGATCCCTAACCCAATCCTCATCTACCAAAGCAAACTCCTCCTTTATCCTGATTCCTTCAGAGTAAGTGTATTCTGAAAAGTATATATGATTAAGTTCTGAACAGAACACATTAAACCTATCTTGTTTAAGGGGAAGTCCAAAGGGAACACCAGGAAACAAATAGTTATTCAGAGAGAAAATTAAAGAATCTGTACCAGATCTATTTTCAATACAGTTCTAGAAAATATTTTTATAGCGAAGAGGGTCATTTTTTTTTATTTTTTTTTCTTCTTTATGAAGCTCAAAATAATCCCAATATTTGACACTGGAAAAATATTTTTCATCTCTCCCATAAGTATAATAATGCAAGAAAAGATGCCTAGATGTCATTGTCACCACTTCAAATAAGGCATTAATGAATGCATTAGATCATTTAAATGTAAATAAATGAATTTTATATATAAATATACTCAAAATATTAAAATAAGCTTATAAGGGTAAACTAACTATTGTAATGGTGACAACCATTTCATTTAAGTATTTAGGCAACAAAAACTGGAGAGAATAATGAAGAGTCTTAGAGACATTATTTTACTTTGTTCTACTTTTGAAAGACTAAAACTAGAATAAACTGAAAGCTCTTCATCATCATTTCACAGGCAATCCCACCATGGGGGTCTCCTCAGGCCTTCTGGGGAATCTAGTCCATCTTTATGTAATAAATATACTTGGTCATTCCACATCAACCCTTGCTGAAATGACCCTGAGACCAAGGCCCAGAACCTAAGAACCTCTTTAAGCTGAATGCCCTAGTTAACATCACACTGCCTCCTGATCAAGCCAAAAACAGAGAGGGATGAAGAATTCAGAACAAATCTTCTGTTGACAAACACTGCCCTCTTCAATTCCAACTCAACTATCTTCAAAGAACAGTAAGAATTTACAGTTACCTCCAGTGGTTATGCCCTCCCATTAGACAGCTCCAGTGCTTTACTCTTCTAAGCCCTGTGTATTCCTGTATTTGTCGTGTAGTCAAACATGATGAAGTTGAGGTTTACCGATTTCTGATTCAGGCCACAGAGATGCATTGCAGCAATTAAGATGTAGGTGCCAACATTCTGCATAGGCCCCTAGATTTCACGGTTTTAACAGTATTTTTGGCAAGACAAAAAGTTTGGAAAACCCTATCCTGAAAATCCACTATCTGCTGAGGAAGGATCCTATCTACTGAGAACATGAACTAGCTCCGAGTACACCATCTTTAATGACAACACTTTAAAAAGACTCAGTCTTACAAGTTTTGTTCTCTTACATATCTAGGTCTGAAACCTAGAAATGACCAGGGGTTTTTAGAAGTCTTGTAGAAGTGATCTGGCTTGCAAACGTCATTAGTTTTGGCAGAATCATATTATATGAAACCTGTAATACACTTGCTAACGCTTAACCCAATGATCACTTATAAGAAGTATTATTGCATTTTAAGCGTAAAAATATAGGACGTTCTATAAAGAAAATTAAAATAGCATCCATCTAATATTGATAGTCATATAAAATAACTCACAATTATGTAAGTTTCCATATTTAATTACACATTTAAAAATAAGTTATAAAAATAATTAAACTTCTTTAAAACCCCTAAGTTATTGCCTTTTAGGAGTTTTTACTCATATCTACTGATTGTCTAACATCTGCAACAGCTTCTGGTACTCGAACAGTCATATTATCCATGGATTTCTTCAAGCAGATTTGGCAGCCTAAACGTGATCTGTAGGGAAATAGGACGTTGTCATTAGTTCTACCTGATCACACATCTAACAGCATTTACCCCCCTACGCCTCCAACATTCAGCCATCCCAAACAAATTATGATCTACAATCAGCCACTCTTGTGCATGGCTTAATCAAGACCAGCAGTGAACTGCATGCATCAATGCAAAGATACATGCGGTAATAAAAATTATTTACATTAAGTAGCAGAGTGCAGTACACTGGAAAGTGGTACACAAGTACTTTGTACTTCCTGAGGCAATATACAGTAAGGGTGACCCTTCCATTTTCAATGGGTCACTAGCAGTTCAGTCAAGTGCAGTGAATAACACTTGATGTCCCAAGGGATATCTGACATCTCTGAAGAGATGAAGGCAATGAATCAGAATGAAAACCTCAGAAAAAGCAAAACCTAACTCATATAGGGTCCAATGTTTTCAAATTAAACAACTTAAGATTGGGTCATTATACCAGAGAGTAAGAGCAAAAAGACAAGAAACATAGGAAGGAGAAGGATAAAATACTCATGGCACCTGAGGAGATGTAAGCCTTCATTTTTTCTACCTACTATTTGGCATGAGAAAATATTGTACTTGAACATTTCAAAACAAAGACATAATGCCACAACAAAATTCTGTAGACATCACAGGCCACTTTTACTCCTGGAATATCTCTAAGTAATGTCCATGCTTTGGTACTTAAGTATAGAATACTTAAACATCAGCAAGGATGGGCAATGTTCTGTAGCCCCAGCTGAATAATTTTATCAATATAGGAATGTAGGCAGAGATACTATAAAAGATCATACTACATTAATATTTTTATAGAACCCTTACAAGCATGTAGTGATCAACTGCTGTTAAACCTCAAAATTCAGTCCTGTATGAAAATGCGATACTTCTATGTAAGTGACTCCATACATCAACTTCAAATTACTAGAATGCATGTATAAACACATACATTACCAGAAGATTTAATCTCTTGAATATACATCTGTAAGAATAGGGTTAGAAATTACATCTATTAGATATGCAATTTGTGATACTTGTATCATTGCCAGCAAGGCTGAATTTTACTGAAGTGCCTGTTTTCACTAAAGACCAATGCTAACTCCCTAGGTACTCTGTAGTGTAGCAATGGATTCACTTCATGTGAAGGTTTTGAGCCTGCTACACAGCAGTACAAAACAACCCTAGGCAGCATTAAATAACACTGTGAGAAACAAACTACTTTCTCTTATTCAAATTCTTCCACAGCATTTACAATTTTATAGATATTTAACCAGATTCCTCCACTCCTTACAGCTGAAGACTGGACTCCCAAAAAGATGATTTAGTCAACTCCTGCATGCAAACCACCCCTCCTTTAACCACTTCCCTTTATTTACTCTCATTCTACTACTTAAGGAAAAGGAAAGAAAAAAGGAAGTAAAAAGATATGGTGAACTCCCATATTGTCATGTAATGGTCATTTACTGGTTTTCTACCTGTTCCTAATATTGTCAATAGCCCATTCACTTTTTTGAGGTTTTGGTTTTTTTTTTTTTTTTTGGTGTTTTAACACCAAACCTTAAGCTGACATTCCTGTAAGATGCTAGCTAGCTGGCAGCGTATTTCAAGTCCACATGGTTACCATTGTTCTACCCACCTCTCCATGTGCGTTTATCTGCAGCTTTTAACACCAAACTTTGTTTCCTGTCACTCAACAGCACAAGATCCTTGTGTATGGATCACTGACAGTTTCTGATTTTACCACACTGAGTAACATAGCACTATACACAAACTTTATTCTTCATTCTCTCTTCCCAAGTCTCACAAAAACACTCACTACATAAAACCTAGTACCAATCATTTTTAGATCACATATTCTTACCTTGTTAAAAGACAACTGTTTATTAATCAATTACTTCTCCTTTACAGGGCCTTTGCTCTTACCCATTTCAATTCAACCTTAGTAAAGAATTTCTGAACCTAAGTAAACTACATGAACCGTAAGATTTTATTTTTTCATACTCAGTGACTCATCTGAACTCCCATATCCATTACATCCGTCTACAAAAGCTTTTTTGAATTCTTTCCTTATAATTATGTGCTAGAAATCATAAAGAAGCAACAGTTCATACGCCCATGATTAACATGTCCAGTATGGAATCAGACTCACTGTTCTCCAGTTCTGATGATCTCATTTTAAAAGTTGGGTTGCTACCTTCCATTACTTTGATGTGGGAGCAGTTTTAAACCACCTAATTAAGCCTTTCAGACAAAAGTTCAGAAATGTCATCATGAACTTCTGCAGAACTCCTGGGTGAATGCTACCTACTCATTACCATTTGTCATTACTCATTTTACTGTATTTACTCGTATTTGCTGCAATACTCCAGGAAGCCCTCTCCAAAGAAATCTTCCAGTGCATAGATATCCTGTAACATCTCTAGAGACAGCAATGCCAAAGAAACTGCTTTTACATCATCATCTTTTTATATTTTAAGTGCAATTCTGCATCACCCATTGGCTCTTCATGTAGACAAACTTCCTGCTTCTGACAGGTTAAAAACAAAACTGATTTTCTACTATTTAGCAAGCTGTTTCTCATTTTTTAGTTCAGTATTCTTTTGAAACATTTAACATAATAGGGTTTGCACCCCCTCACTCTTAATATCTTTACTGTTCTGCAGTTACTCAAAACCATTTCCTTTTAACCTTTTTATTTAGTCCCTTGTTTTAAAAACCATGAGCTTCCATGGCAGCTGCTAGCTGAAACTTCCCCAAATACAGTCACTGACAAGAATAAACTTCTATCATTTATGACAGAGCATAGTAGTGCATCTCCATTACACACGTTCATATCAGCGCAGGAGACCAGGTAACCTATAGCAAGTATCAGTCACTTAAAGCTCCGTCTTCCAAGGCTTTTCACACATATGAAAGAACCCTGGCCATAGGAAGAACATGTGTTGTTAGGAAAACCTGATGGAAGTAACAAGTGTCTTCAAAAGGTCTAAAAACTTAATGTCGTCTGAAGAACTTTGAGAGAAAAAGTATTTAAACAGCTCTTTCTACTGTTTCAGTTCTTCAGTAAAAATTCCTTGATTTAAATATTTAATTAAAAGATAGCCAAATAAAAAAGTTTTTCATTAGATTGCTGGCCTCCAGAGTTATTTAGGAATCAGTTTGGTGCAGAATCTGAAAGTGACTCTGAGAAGAATTATGGTAGATGGTAAGAGTGACATAAATTCACACTTAATAGACCATTATTTTCAAAATTGAAAATGTTTTTTTTTTTGGGAGACAGAAAAAAGGAGAAAACAAAAGAAGCTGAAACAAGTTTCTCATGGCTTAACTTCTTTGCCTTTACAACCTCCCAGAAAAGTTAATATTTGGCTGAAGTGAGAATAAACATACTGTTGTGTAGAAACAATTGATACAGGATTCCATTACTGGTATAAGGAGATAAACAAGTTAATTCAGAGTACTACTTTGCAGGGACATAAAAAAAACAAACTATGCTATACAGGCCAGGTATAAGGCCCTCTGACATCATGGGAAAATTCTAAAATACTTTGATAAGCAATTGCATTGAAACATGAAGGGAAAGGCTTATGAAACCTTGTAAGGCATAGCTACTTACTCTTCATGTAGGTATGTTCTACAATACAAACTACATGTACAAGTAGTGGAGAGCACTAAGAATAGATGAGGATTTGACACCGTAATTACAACGCATATGATGGTGGGAGATACAGAACAGAGGCTTACTTTAGACTATCACTAGTCCAATGTGCAACACTGCATTAGCAGTTAAGAGAACGCTTTAGTTTTACCCAATAGGGAATCTGGCTTGTATGCACCAAGAGTACTCTGATATGAGCCAAAGTATGACAAGTGGTGACACTGCCACGTGTGACACCATTTATCCTGGAGACGGCTTGGTGAAAGGATCTTATCAATGCACATAAATACCAGAGAGGCTGTGGAGTCTCCATCCTTGGAGATATTCAAAAGCTGTCTGGACATGGTCCTGGATATCGGCTCTAGGTGGCCCTGCTTGAGCAGGGGGTTGACCCAGATGACCTCAAGAGGTCCCCTCCAACCTCAACCCTTCTGTGATTCTGTGAAAAGAAGATCTGACCAAAGCTAAAATACTAAAGTAAACACATTTATAAAACACATTAACTAGCTACAGACTAATGGAGACAGAAAACAGAAGGGAAATAAGAACAAGAAAAATCACACACATGACATCAGCAGCAAAGTTTTTGTTGAAGGAACTGGGTTTTTGGTCATATTTCAGTATCTGACACTTCTGCATCAGACACCTCAGAAGAGCAAGTAGTGGCAACTGCCACTTTCAGTTACAGAAATAAAACTGACATCTTTTTAGTATGAATTCAGCTAATCAGTATTCAAACTTGGCAGTCCCATTTGCATAACAGAATCTACCTACTCGTTAAAAGATAATTAAGGCATTCTAAGAATAATGGACTGCCCCACCTGCAAACCCTGCTTTTCAGTTTTTCATGTAGTAAAGTGTTATGTTCCCTTACGTTTCTGTGAGGCCATATGCCAGGTCCAGCATGTCCATCTCTTCATCAGTAATTGCATCTAGTTTCTCAAATATGTGGTCTTCAAAGATTAAATGACAAGTTGAGCAGGCTAGCGTTCCTTCACATGCACCTAAGGAAAAAAAAAAGTCAAGATAACAGAAAATCCAAGTTTCAAATTACAGCATAATTACAATAGAACTTCACAAGAAATTCTTCATCAGTGTGTTTGTCTCGTACAAGTATCTCTATTCACTACTAAAACTAATGCTTCATATATTCCCACATCCATGTATCTACTTTGCATTCAACTCTCCATAGCATTTCTACAGTTTCTACAATCCTGAGATTTACTTGAATCCTGTAGTTAATTAAAATACTTAACTAATTCCCTTTCTACCATTTAAAGAGAGAAAAGTTTTGTACTATAAGAATGCGAAAGCAGACAACACTGTCAATCAACACTACTTAATTTATCTCCAAGGTTGATCCTTCTCTCCCCATTTCCCAGTTTTGAGAAGAAGTTCAACAGAACGTAACAGATTTTATACTTATTATTTCTTCTCCCTCAACAGAGCACTGATTCACAACCACAAAGGTAGTCAGGCTAGAGAGACCTACATGTATTACAGGGCAATTCAGTCTGAGATCCAAGGACCTAAGAATTTGCAATGGTTGAACAGAATAAGCATCAACCACATCTACCTGCTAGAGCAATCAGATCATCACAGAACAGTACAAGTTTGAACACTAACAAATTTGTCTCTGCCACTGGGCTGGCACCAAGTTCTCTGCTTTGCTGAAGAAGGATGATACAATTCTTCTTTGAAAACTGAGAGAGCTGGGGCTGTTCAGGCTGGCTCTGGATAGACCTTAGAGCAGCCTCCCAGTACCTAAAGAAGACCTACAAGAAATCTGGAGAGAGACTTTTTACAAGGGCATGTAGTGACAGGACAAGAAGGAATGGCTTTAAATTGAAAGAGAGTAAACTTAGATATTAAGAAGTTCTTTACTGTGAGGGTGCTGAGACACTGGCACAGGTTGCCCAAAGAAGCTGTGGATGCCCCATCCCTAGAAGTGCTCAAGGCCAGGTTTGATGGGGCTTTGAGCAAACTGGTCTAGTGGAAGGTGTCCCTGCCCAGGGCAGGGAGGAGCGCTGGAACTAGATGATCTTTAAGGTCCCTTCCAACCCAAACCATTCTATAATCCTATGAATTCCAAAGGTGAAGAAAATGGAATTTTTCGTATCTGTGTAGAGACTGGTGTTGGGGCACAGAGCAAACCCCCCTCCCCGATTCAAACTGATAAAAGACAAGCCGGTAACACATTAGCCAAGTTTCATTTATTTACTCATTTCCAGGGAAAGCAGAACTGAGAGCACCGTGCCCACATCACCTCTGTACTTATATGGAACAAAGGGAAGCAAGGCTGCATGTATAACCATTGCTATGAAAAGTAACAGTAGGATTTATCATCAGACCACAAGAACCACACAGAAAGTACAGTGCTTTCATGTAGTAACAGTACTGACTGCATATATTCAAAGTGACCATGACATTGTACTAATAGTCATGATTTTAAAAATGGTATCATGTCTTCATGTACATAGAAATGCATGGGAAAAAGCAGAATGCCAAAAAACGTAAAATTTGTTGTATCAGCAGTTCAAGCATTTTGATGTTGGAGAAGTGAAGTGAAAAGATAGGAAAAAACAAACAAACACCAACCAGTCTATACAAACAGTGGAAGGTCTTTCTGCAACTGTAAAGCTAGCAGTAGCAATCAAACTGAGTGGAATTGAATAATTCAACAGTTTTGTAAGTCTTTGTGTAAAGATATTTCTATTATTATTACTGCACATGGGATGCCCCCTAGTGATAGAAACAAATAGGTTAAGATTTACATGTTACTTTTTTTCTTTTTTCTAAACACAGAACATACATTTTTACATTACTTACACTGCATTTTTCTTGGCCCTAGTATGTTGCTTCATTTGCAAGTAATTATTGAAATGGGACTATCACATGTTATAGTTAAGGATTGTTACAGTATTTCCAAATGTTAGTTTGGCTTCTGTTTATTGACAGCATTATTGGTTGTTTTGGGGTTTTTTTCCACTTTACCACAATGGTTTAACATGGCTCATATTTACACAAACTGGGAGAATATCTGCTGTAGAATATAAGTGGACTAGCCATAAGCCTGTATAACATATTTAATAAGTGCTATATAATGCCAGGTATACCAATACACTACAGATTTTTAAGAGACAATTTTTCTCCTCGGGCGTATGCAACTCCAGACGTAAAAGCTGACACAGATGCAAATCTGAGATTTCAAATCTTACCAAAGATTTGATTACTACCAGAGAAATTTATCTGCACTAAGACACACCTCAGATTTCAGACTGCACAATAATATCCTAAATGTTTTTTAAACCAATTGACTTGCATTCACTCACACAAATTGTGCTTCCACTTTCTGCTTTAGTTTGTAACTACTGATTCTTAAGCTCATGTTCATGTAAATACCTGTCCTGAGGTATTTAATTACAAAATACCACTGCTTTGCATGGGCAGAATCCTACATCCTAGGATCCTACAGAATCACCCTCCAATCAATGGAAAGTGCAAAAGTTTGAAGGAATAATGAGGTAGTATAGCACCTTTCTATTTTGATTTTAAACAAAACTTGTACCAAGTTAGGATTTGACTGGGCACTGGTCTCCTTTATCCCAGTCCTTCAATAAGAATTAAACCTTTTGCTCTTTTCTGCTAACTGACATGGAACTGGTTTTTAATTTCACTTAGCTCTCAAATACTACAGCAACTTGTGCTACAAAATGACTGATAATAAGTTGAAACAGTATGGCAATACAGAAATAAATACACCAGTTTTGTGCTGCGTCTGGAACCTTTCAGCTCTGAAGAGTCTGCAAATGGCATCTTTCAGATCCCACCTTGACAGTACTCTGTCCACATGCTCCTCCTTTAACTTTCAAGCTAGGCTCACTCCAATTTATTTATTAATTTATTTATTTTAAATTTGACCCAAAATATTGTATGTCCCTGCAAGAAAAAAAAAATAAAAAAATGGAGAGTATTCAGAAATAAATATTAATTTACAGTTGGACTTGAAGATTTTAAGGGCCTTTTCCTATATAAATGATTCTACAACTCTGTAAGTATTTATGAATAAACTCGTAAAGAACATTATTTCTAAATACTGAATAGTAGTCAGTCAATCTACTTACCAAACCCATCTATGTCTAGATTATTATTAACAACAACATCCAGCAGTGAATCCCCCGGTTTTCCTTTGGCTGTTAGTTTGTCACCATCACGATTTATGAAATGAACAGTGATTTTATCTTCTGAGCTGAAAAGAAAAGCATACAATGGAATTAAAGAAAGAATTCTAGATTTTTTTTAGATCTTTACAGTTGATTAAATACTACTAAACCAATAATCACCATCAACTCCAAGAGCACAGAAACTCAAGTTATTGGTCTTTGAAAGCTGTAACACGGAGAGGCATTTACTGCTGTACATTGAACAAAGGCCATTAAAAGTAAGCAAAAAAACCTTGGTGTGTGTTTTGTCACTAGAAGCTATATAGGATCCTGATAATTAAATTTTTATAAAATAAAAGAGATTGTTTTAAATGCTTCTCTACAGACCTTTCCACAGACACCTGCTTTGGATTTATGAAACCTTAACTGTTCTCATCATTATCATTCAAGACAAATTTTAACTTTTCTTATTTCTGCTTTGAGTTTAAGATATTTTACTTTATTAGTTCCAAAATCGAATCCTTGTCCCCTCCTCAAAATGGAAATACTCTAAAAGCATTCTGGATTTTTTTGAGCACAGGTTCTCCTAGGTTTTCACCTTGTAAATATTAATTCCAGTACAGTTCAAAGCTTTGACACTGGCTTCAAAGAAAGGTTTTTTTATTTTCCTGCTTTGCTTTTCAAACAATTATGTTTATTTAAGAATTTCTCTTGCAGTCTGCATAACATGTCTTAAGACCAAAGCTTTTAATATGGGGAAAAAAACCCACCCTGTGTTCTATTATCTATGTTATTTCACATGCATGTTACAGGAAAGCTTTTAATATACTAACAAATAAAATACAGTTGGTTTGTTTTTACAGTTTTCTTATCCTACAGTAAGTAAGCAAAACAGGAAAAACTTGTATGGACAATGAAGAAACCTGCCAAGAGATGAGAAATGCAAATAGAACAACTGAAAGCTAATGCAAAAAGTCTATGTTTCAGTGTGAAATCCATGTGTTAAGAACAGCATGCTTAATATTCCCTTTAATATTTTTAGTAACTGTGGGCCTTACATGACCTAGCATATGGAAAGCATACAAGCTTGAAAAATCAAGCCACTCTCTGGAAAACTCTAGCCTGTAGTGCTGAACATCAGAGCAACCCGAGTAACTTGTAAAGCTAGCACCTGAGTCCTAGGTTGTTTTGAAAAACAACAAATAATTGTTGCCCAACTTAATCTCCTTGCTACAACTGTAAACTCACTTGGTAGCAGTAAGCTCTGTGATTCATTATGATGTCATGTTCAATTCTTGTCATGTCATCCCTCAGTCTATTCTTCTGAAGACAGCCATTATTAACAATAAACTCATTCCAAAATTATAATCGATAATGAAGGATTGACCTTTCTGATCTGCAGGATGCAACTGAAGCATGCACTGTAAAATTCAGAAATCTTCAAGATCTATCTTTAAAAAATGTAATTAATGTTAAACAGTGACACCAAAGGACCACCTCCAGCAAAGGGTCCTGTGGGGGTTTAAGTTGCTACTCTGCTCTTCTTTTTGCTCTTCTGCTATGCCAACAACTCCCACAGCACAACCAAGGAAACAAGCACCCACTTCTTGGAGATACTAGGACAAAATTCACCATCTCCACTGGTAGCTTAAGACTGACGGGTTTAGATTGAATCTGGAAAGGTACAGATTCACACTCCTGACAGCAAAAGTAAACCACTGACAGCGTAATTTTAAACTGCTTCAAAAAGCTCTTCCAGCGCTCAATGAAATACACTTTCACTTACTGAAGTATTTCTGTCAACATAACAAACACAACCCTAACAGGAGACACAATGCAAGATGCATTTGCACCTATGGACATCCTCTGCCCAAGGTATAGGCATGGAAAGTACTAAATATTTGTTCCAATATCCAAAATACACTCTTCTATTATGGGATGAAGTGATCACAAGTAACATGGACCAAACAGCAGGACATCTGGCAATCCATTAGATCACTGAAACCTTTGTAAAAGTCAAGTCATGCCCCTCCCAGTTGTCAAAGTACACCTGAAACTGTCTTCACCTGTGATTACACTAATAAGGCATAACACCACAGTGTCATTAAAAGAGTCCTGCCCTCCTTCCTTTGTTCCTTCAGTCTCCAGCAGTCACCCTGCCATGAAGTAAATTGGGTCTGGAAACAAAACTGGATGAAACACTATCTTTACAGGCCAGGTGCCATACCAATGTCAGAACTGGTACACGGTCACATCTGTCTCTCATATGAGACATACACCTTCATGAAACAGTTGTGTTACTGCAACTGTATGATGCCGCAATACAATCTAAGCCTCATGATCAAACAGAAATATAAGAATGTGGTTTGGGGCGATCCCCATTACCATCATCCTTACAGCAGTATTACCACAAGTCAACTCCTTTTGCTAATCTGGCTGAAAAATCAATCATAAAAACAAAGTAGTCCCAGCTGAACCAGCAAGCAAAACTGACAGAACTGCCACTGCCCACAACAAAATAAGGAAACAGGAATGAGATCCCCTTTTCTGTAGTAACAATCTCACATTAGCTTCAGACAGTTGAGGAACGGCACCGCGGCTGTGCATGCCGAGCTTGTGTGGCATGCAGTAAGTGGACAAGCCACAGTACCACCAGTGGGTCACTGACTCCTGTTAAAGATTGCTACAGTAATTCATATTTTCTGTGGGACCTAAGTCATTCTGACTGATAACTAACATTTTCGAGATAGCTTTCTTAAGTTTTACAGTAGGATCAAGTTTTCTGCTATTGCCATCTTTACCACACTCCACACAGGCAAAAAGTTGAATTAAATAAAAATCATAAATAACTGAGGATTTATTGCACACATGCCTTTCAGAAGTGTGTTGTGGTAATCAGACCAGTCAGACATTCAAAGCACACACTGTGCAGATCTTTCCAATGATTCAGAGATACCATTCAAAAAATAATAATAATCACACCTACATGAAACAATATTTACACTTTTAAAATTTCAAGTACCATGGCTTTTGTCTACCCAGACATTGTTTGATTGAAGGAAAAAAAAAAACAATCAAATGCCACCATACTGTGAACTAGTCACAGGCAACTAACGCAAAATATGCCAGGTCTATGCAAGGATAAACAGCCTCAGGATTATCAGGAAGAACAAAACCTATTTTGTGTAATCTGTATAAGGGATAAATAGCCCAATTCATGCTCAGATGAATCCTTTTCACCAGATGCACAACACAATTAATTTCTTCACATGGCTGCCACAGTACTATTAGCTTTGTTATCATTATGATACCCTAAATTAAAGATACTAGGAATACACAGAGGAGCACCAGAGAACAGTAAACACTGTTCATTGTTCCTCCCATGCAAAAAGAGTAAGTACTGCAAGAATCCTAACAGCCACCTCCTCCCCTTAAAAGAAGTATCCTTTTGAATCTTCAGCTATTACTTCCAAATTAAGAATCACCTCTTAGATTCCTCCAAACAAAACACAAAGATAACAACTGTAGCCTGGTGTTGCACATAATAAGACCAATTCTGTTCTTTCTAGATCTCTTATTAAATAGTAAGTCTAACAGCTCTACCTATATGCCTGAAGAGTTTAATGAATTAAACTATTATACAGGCTTCAATTAAAATATAAAGTAATAAAAGTTATAAATCAAACTAAACTTTAAAGCATGTAGCAATTATACTGTCCACCAAAAATAATGTACAGCTACCTGAATGGGTATAAAAGCATTCAGAATAACTACTGTTCACATGAAAATAAATGATAACAGGTGAAAGTGGAGCAACAGGAAGAATTAAATGGAAATGAAAACATAATGCCCAATACTTCACTAAAACCCTTGGGAACCTCTGCTCACAAGAACCACCTGAGCTAATAATTTTGTACAGCTAGGTCTTCATCCTCTAGACACAAATACAACTAATTTTACATATACAAACAATTATATATGCTTTTACTGGAATAACAATGACTGATAAGTTCAGGAACTTAGTCTCAAATAGTATCACATCCAGAAATGGTAGGACCAGAGAAAGTAACTTGCACATCAATGAAGAAAACAGTAATATATGAAAGAAACAAGGATATTCTTTTTCTCTCGACTCATTCATCCAGGTAAGTATATACGGAGTATATAAACAACACATATGAAATGCCTGTGTGACCTTTTTTGATGGTATGCATATACAATGCATGTGAATAAATTCCTATCTGTTTGTGAAAGACCTGAGGGATTACAGGTCTTACATTACTATTAGGTAATAAAATGTTTTTCACTTTTAGTATTCTTTTTCCTCCCATATTTACCCTGCTTAACAGCTTCAATAACTTTAAAAAACAATACTTTACAAAGACCTTTTGATTTTTTAATTAAAAATTTTGAATCAGAGACCTTGAAATAAGTGAATGTCACTCTGCTAGGTCACTCAGAGATCTAAACTAGCCATTTACCCATCTCACATAGGGGTCCTAGACTAAAAGGTTAGTTTGCCTCTCCATATTAAAAGTATCCGCTGGAACAAAGTAAAAAAGCACCTACAGGAGAGTTTAAGAGCAAACTACTGAAACAACTTCAATGGCATGGAAACAGGCAAACCTACGGTCCTGATGCTGGGCAGCTGATGGTGCATCTCATTCCGAGTCGAAGAAACTTCTTGGGCAACCAAGTAAATTAGGCTTTTAAAACTTCATTTTAAATACTGAAAGTTAACTGTAGACACTGACTTATCTTTGAATATACAAGCTACAAGCCAGAAGGCCATACATAAACACAGCTTCTAACTACATGTACTAAGCTGCAAACACATGGGCTGTGGGATATTAAACATCTACAAAGGTCGTAACTTCTGAAACACCTACTCATACATACTGGTGAGAAGAGGTGGGGTTCTGCACACTTGGATGCATAAGTGCTCATCAGTAAAGTAAAACTACACCAAAGGCACAAGAAAATTTCAAATCTTCAGTACTGTCAGTATTGGGCTCTCTGGTATGTTCTGTACTTCTACCACAGGCCTAGCCAGACTTTCAAAAAAAAAAAAAAAAAGCCCCAACAAAAGAAAACAAACACTCCCCCTGCCCCCCCCAAAAACAAACAAAACCAAACCAAACCAAACAAACAACAAAAAAACACGCCAAAGCAAGAGAAAGAGGAAGCACAGCGCTGCGCGAAAAAGCGACTCTGATAGGGTCACAGCCTTTCAGAAAGCTAGTTTAAACATAAACAGCCTTAGTTTAGTTTTCCATAACATTATAAGCTCTTTCAAGGGGCTCCAGACTCCAGATCACAAGATCACACAGGCCCTGCGGCTTAACTACACGAGGGGGACGACGGCAGTGCCCCCCGCAGAGAACTTCAGTGCCGCTGCCAAGGCAGTCCCAGGCGGGCCGGCGAGAGCAGGGACGAGGAAGAGGGCGAGACCCGCCCCGACCGGGCCAAGGCAGGGGCACAGGAGGACAGCGGGGCACCGCAGGCCGCACGGCAACGAGGAGCCGGGGGAAGGTTACGCAGCACCAGCCCAGCTCGGCCCCCACCAACGGCCCTTGGCCCTGGGTGCCCTTAGCGCTGAGGCCCAAGCAGCGGCCCGAGCAGGCCCGTTACGGCACTGCGGCGGAGGGAGAGCTGCCGCCGCCCGGAGGAGCCCGCCCGGCGCCTCACGGCTCTGACCCTCTTACCTGAGCACCGCCCGGGCAGAGAGGCCGAACGGCCGGACTGCCCTCACGGCAGCGGCGGCGCTGCCGCAGCCTGGCCATGTCCCGGCTGCCGGCGAGGCGGAGAAAAGCCAGCGGCGGGAGGAGGCGGCGGCGGCCCGAAGGAGCCGTACCGGCCCCGGGGAGGCCATGGCGGCGGGACAGGACCGCGGAGCTTCCGTGCCGGCACCGGGGGAGAGGCGGGGACAAAGTCCTACTGCGTACGCCTCTGGCGCAACCTGCGGCAATTCTCGCAGCCGTCTACGTAGAGCACGTCCCGCCCCCTCATGACGGTGCTGCGAGGTGACCGCGCGACGGGCCGAGCGGCGTTACGCAAAGTGCGCAGCGATGCGCGGAGCGGCGGGTCTGGGGTCGGGGCCGGGGCCGGGGCCGGGGCCGGGGTTTACGGAACGGGCGCAGGGCGCTGTTCGCCTGCCGTGCCGGTGGCTCCGCGTTGGAGTCCCGCGAGGTCCCTCAGGCATGCTGTAGGACGGTGGAAACCCTCAACTTCCCTCATTCAAACCTAAGCCCTACTCTTCCTGGAAGGTGGTCCCGTGGAGTCCGACATTGTCCTGCCTCCCTGCCCGATTCGGCTCGTGGGGGATTTCTTGTCACGGCTCAGGCCACGACGGGGGCTCAGCGCTGACAGCGCCCTGGCAGGGTCTCTGACACGTGGTGGAGGTGGCACCCAAGGACTCCTAGGAGTCCTCACTACATCCCATCCCAGATGTGCCTTTGGATGGCGTGCCCTGTGAAGGACTGAGCTCCCTGGCTCCGGACAGGGCAAGAAGCAGGGACGGAGGGAAACGGGCATGGCAACAACTCAGGGCTCTCAGACTGTGTTTTATGGCAGAATCAACTTCTAAAACCCAGGCACCAACAAAGGGACAGCAGTGCTACCAGAGGTTTTAACGAGAGGTGGGTATTCACTGTGAAAGGCTCAAATATCAATAGGAAATACTGAGATTTCTTGAACCATTTCAGACTGCACATACTGACTTAATTTGGCTCTCTGCAGTGTACACATTGCTGTACAAGTTTTGATTAGATGGGTATGCAGATCCCCTTCACTCTACCACATGCTGACTGGAGAGTGCTGAGTGAGTGATGAAGAAAGGGAGCATTTACTTCCAAATCAATCATTCAAATTGTAAAAATAAACGGGAGAAAGGAGGAAATGTTGATGACCTCTGAGGCACTCAAGGTAGTTAGGATTATTCCTGATGCCTTATGATTTTAGGACTGTGTTTTTGTTGGTGTCACAGTAAGATCAAAGAGGGAAATAACGTTATACTATCTAACTTAAACTTGTATTTTCTTTAAGGAGAGAAGGCTGTGATGGAAATATCAAGAGTTTATAAACTGGCTATAAACCAAGTGACTTGAATGTGCCAGTTTTCACTGCTTCAGGTATATAGCTCCTACCCTCTAAGTGACATATGACATACTCAGTGTCAGTAGAGGGATTCCCTTTATCCATTACAACTATGGCCAATGTAAAATTTTACAAAGTCTGACTCTTATCTTTTAAGCTTTATTTCCATTATTGCTATGTCAAAGTAGCTTTTTTAGCAGCTACACTGTATGAATCCTGTGACACCAAATATGTTTCACATTATAATTTACAATCCAGTATTATTTCCATAAAAAAAAATGGACTGCTGTCCTCATCTAGATCTAGCATAAGATTTCAAAAGTGTTAGTTATCTAGATGCACAGTATAGCTCTACATTTCAGCTGGAGTGAGGCTGACCCATTTTTTCTAGGCAATTTCCTTTAAATTTGTCGATGCTACAAAGGCTGCAGTAACTTTACACAGGTTGCCACTATGTAATACAGGCAGAACAGCTTTCAGTTGTTCTTTGATTACTTGCAATAGAATTGTTTTTTCAAATATATCTTTTGTAGAGTAATATTATTAAATCTGATATTAATATAAATGCAGTTAACATTAGCAAATTAATATATCATAGAGCAGTCACTGAAATAAATACTCTGAGTGCCAGGTCCTCAGCGAGTATCCTGGTACCCACACACCCACACTAAGCTATTTTTCATTAGGTTTCACTCTTTGACAGCACACGAGAAGGTGGCCACAAATAATACATTTTATTTCAGTATTGTCACTACATCATAGGGTCATATATGCGTTCTTATAAGGCAGTGTATAGCTAAATATATACAGTATTATGTGGACTTTTAATATTGTAAAGCCAAAAAAGCACATCAGATAATCTAGTCTGTCTTTAACCAGATGGCTGCTTGTCATAAATTTATGGTTAATGCGGGAAGTAAGTCTGAAAGGGACCCTCTGGACCGTCTAACGTAAACATGTGCTATCACATGCAACTCAAGTAACTAAATATAGAAGTATTTTATTAAAGTTTTCTTGCTGGTATTAGCTGCACAGAAAAACAGGCCCAAATTTTCATTCATTGGAAGGGTAGAAGGCTTAATTATATATTAATTTTCAAATAATTTATTAGTTTAATTCTTAGCATAGGATTATTCATACTGATTTTTCCCTGCCCAGGGCTGCCCATGAGTTTAAATAGTTTGGTTTTTTTTTGTTCTTTGTGATGTTCACCCATCATTTATTGTACTCCCTCCAGCCTTTTTATTTTTGCTTCTGTTGTTACAGGTCTCTTTTCACAAGGAGGAAACTCTTACTATTCTCCTGCACATCCCACACATTTGTGTGTATGTTAGTTTGAATCCAGCCTTGTTAGGTGTGGGCAACTAGTTCGTCCATTCACTTCAGGTCTTGTACAGTGTCTCTAATAGAAATGTATGGCCCTGATACATCCTAGGATTGGATTTGATTTTTTGTTCCCATGTACAAATGAAATTAGTAGCCTGAAATAATCTTGTGATCAGTTAATAACAGAGATGTCCCTTGCTGTTTCTCATTAATGAAGCTATCATTAACCACAAGAGTTCTTGCTGCCCCCAAGAACATAGTAGGCTCTTTGAACTTTGCTTCAATCTGCTTTCATGTGTTTTTTTTGTTCAAATACCATTTTAATAAAGAAGGCTATTTCTATTAACCAACATTAATCCCTGTGCTAGACATGTTCCACAGCTCTGTTCCAGCCTTCAGACTGCTGTGACCGTGAGCATGTTACCCCCATGCAGCAGTTTATTTGGCAAAGTCCAAGGTCAGCTCCTTCACTGATAAGAGCAGTTGTGAAAAAAGCTGATGATGAGGGCATGCTTTGCCTTTCCCTTGAGAGCCCTTTTCAATCTGAGGCTCATGCTGGCCTTCACCTCTGCCACAGAGCAATTGTGCAGCAGTGCTATTGGCACTGTCTCGCATCTTTGAGTCTTCATCCAGACTTGCTGACAGGAGACATGGCATGAATGGATATTTATGAAATGCAAATCCAGCATTTTTATTAAAGAGTTTTTTGAAAATAATAATTCCACCAATTAATCAGGCTTCTTTATACAATTAGCTTTTCTGGTCATTATCAAAGTTCAGTATGAGCAGTGTTTTAACTTGGATTTTCTTAGAAGCAAAATTGTGCCACATTATCCCTTTCAGTTGAAATACTGAAGGAGATCAGAGAAAGGAAAGGATCCATGGTCCATGTGGAAATTTCCTTTTGTGATCATCTGCTGTTAACCAGCGTGAGAACAGAACCATCTCATCCAGAGTTTTTTCTCTAAGGTAGCTTGATTTGTGATATCCCCACCTTAGGTTTTGGCATAGCTTTTAGTTCAGTCTTCTGGCTACAGTTTCTCTTGGATTATAAGAGTGCAACTAAGCCTTCACAGAGACAGGAGAGCAGCAGGCCACCTAATTTCATCTTGGCAACCTTCATGTGACTGTGGGCAGGAGTGGGCCTGTGAGCTGCTGACACAATGTTTTCTATGTTTCAATGTTCGTTCCTCCAGACTATACCATCTCTTCAACCTGAGTTTTCTGAAACCAAGATCTTCCTTTCCACCTGCCCCTGACAGTTCAGTAACACAGACCTTGATCTAATTTCAAGCAATGAAACTTAAAATGTTTAATTTATTCATCATAGGAAGGTCCAGACAGTCAGAAACTGGTGAGTGGAATACATTGGCTGGGCTCTTTGTTGTTACCTTCAGCCCAGGAGGCCGAGGACTTGGGAGCAGTGACATCTGAAGTAACCCATGCTTGAAAAGGGCAGGAAGGTGAAGGAGAGGTCATCGACCAATGAATGCTCATGGGGTTGTTTTTATTTTGGGAATTAAAGTGGTTTTTAAGACTTTTTGTAAAAAGGCAGGTAATCTGAGTACCAGCAAAGTGCGTGTGTAGCTGCCAAGTGATTCTACAACAAAAAGGAGCTTTGGGAACTTCGGCATTTTGTTGGTGAGGATCCAGTAACTGTGGTGCAGAAGGGCAGGAGGGTCTTTTGTTTGCAATTGTTTTGTCTTTGCTGGTTTCACTACAGCACCTGAAATACAGCAGGAAACAGAAATGTTTGGAGTTCTGTCATTCAAAGAATTGGCGCTCTGGAAATAGGACAGAGCCTGGTGTTATCCACTCAGAGAGGAAAGCTGAGGAGGTGGGTCTGTCTTATGACGGGAAGGTGAATTACTGCCATGGAATTCTGCTTAACTGTAGATAATGTGTTGCTTCAAAGCCACATTTCTGTCATACATAGAAGACTGAAATCTGCATGAGAATTTGCATCTTGAATTCTTCTACTTCATGTTACACGTAACATTTCATAGCAATAGCTCCTTCCTATGATAAGCTGTGAAAGTAATTGGTCTCCAATTAAACAAAAAAGCAATTTTACGACTGCAGAAGGTTTGTGTTGATGATGAATTACAGCCTGATACCCACTCCTGTTGCCTACCTGCACCCACTTCTCTCTCTGGATAACGCAATTATGAAAGATCAGCAGCATTTTTACTCTCTTCCTCAGAGTCCTTACGGTTGTTCTGCAACAACAACCGCAACAAGATATGAGCAAAATGTCTCCATTAAGCAAGGGTGTTGATTGCTGTAGATGCTGCAAGTCCTGCTGTCCTGTCAGTAGCAGGTGGAGTGAGTGATGTATGAGGTCCTGCATGCTGGTCATTTACTGCCTCTGCAGAATGCATCTTTGTATAGCCTGTGATGAAGGAATGCATTTACTGTTAGTGGTAGCCTATTGGTTTGTAACAAGAAGCCAGCTCAGTTGCACATGACAAAGACTTTTGTGTAAGGTTCTTGGAGAAAGAGTGATGCACAAAAGGTAAGTGTGCTAAGGCAGGAGGGTTGTGTGTCCACCAGGAGGCATACCAAGACAGGGTTTCATCTTCCTCACAGACCTGAACCCGATGCACGTACCAGCAGTGGAGGGAGGCAAAAGTTTTCATCAGATTTACATATCAGGAATTAGGAAATTGAGAGGTTTCTAGAACAACATGAAAACTGGCAAGAAGCTGAAGTAATAAAATGCATATATGTAAAAAAAATATATATATATGTCAAACTGAAAGAAGGGAGATTTAGATTAGATATTAGGAAGAAGTTATCTACTTTGAGGGTGCTGAGGCACTGGCACAGGTTGCCTAGAGAAGCTGTGGGTGCCCCATCCCTGGCAGTTTTCAAGGACAGGTTGGACGGCGCTTGCAGCAACCTGCTCTAGTGGAAGGTGTCCCTACCCATGACAGGAGGTTGGAACTAGATAATCTTTAAGCTCCCTTCCAACCCAAACCATTCCATGATTCTATGTTCTCTGGTCAAAGGCTATAATTTCACATAAATGTTGCTGATGTTCAGAGTCATTGGAAGTCATAATCAATATCACTGAAAATAAAAATGCTAATCAAAGTGTAAAGCAATACTAGGTCTCAGCTTCTTATGGTACACATCAGCAGGTGTCTAAGATGCCAAATTAGGTATTTCCATGTACATATGAAAAAGGACAAAGTTTCAATGATGCAAACATTTATGCATGTGAATGATTGTATCTGTTATATATTAAAAATATAAAAGCAATTGCAAAATCAGCTACAGGCTGGGACTCCATGGGAATACAGGTTGTAATAAGCTTATCAGCTGTGCTTCTCTGACAGTGTAACTGGAGTTAGAAACAATGATCCTTCTCTCTGACACCCTAGGAACATGTATATCAGATCAGGAGTATGAACAGTGGTGTTTTCAAAGGTGCTAAATTTTGTATTTTTTTTTCTTTAAGTATTGTAATCAAAACCTTTTCTGTCATTTCAAAATCAGGTAATCAGCTAGGAATTGAAAACCTAAACCCAAGGAAGCACAAAGTTATTTTCCCAAGCTTGAAGAGAAACCTGAATATAAGACCATGGAAAGGAAATAGAGAACCCCAAACTAGTATTAAGGCCTCGTGAGTGGGGTTTTTTTTTAATGCCAGCCTCATGACTTTCTGGGAACTGATTTATTGAAAGCCTTGGTTTGGCAGTTCTGTGCTTGGCTAGCTTGGGCTTGACCCAAGTCCTCTTTTCTCTTGGCAACACTTAAAACAGCTGAGATGTAGCCTATGTTCCTTCGTAATCCAAGATTGCTGTGTGCAGTCGAGAACACTTCAGCATGGGAAATGAACAATAACCCCAGGCTGTGGGCCCTGCTGGTGGTGTGGGCTGTGGGGCTGGGGTGAAGAGCTGAGGGCATGATCTGTTTCCCTGGGACCAGCTTCTATGTGGGTTTAGTGCAGCTGACACACTCCAACTGGTGTAGAAGTACTGTTTTACTTTTCAACTGCACTGTAACCCAGCTGCTGGAAACTCAGTTGTGTAGAGAGAACTCGTCTGATATTTCCAGTTCTTCAGCATTTACAGGAGCTGCTGCTGCAATCCAAACAGAGGTAGTATTCAGCCATCTCCTACAGCAGGTCATGTCCTGCTGGAACAGCGCAGCAGCAGCACCAAGCATTTTCCTGATGGTTCCGCAATCTCAGCAGTAAGGCAGCAATAAAACAATGTGTCCAATGTATTCCATTGGCTTTACCCGTCGGCTCTTATTTCAAGGCAGAGCACTGTGCTGGCGTATATGTATCATATAGAGGTTTTTCTTGCACTGCTCCTAGGGCTCTGAGCCAAACTGCTGGCACAAAGCTGGAGTTAGTAACCCACAGCGGTACCACTGTCATTCCAAACTGCTGAGGTAGTGCTCTACCCTATTACTTTTCTTACATGTTTCTGTTTTCTATACAGAAACAGAAGTTGCAGAATCATGCAGCTTTCAATTTCTAAACCAGGCCAAATTCATTGTTTTAAACTGGCACAGCTGTGAAGTTAGCACTGAGTCTTGCTGCATTACACCAACACAGAGCTGGGCTAACCATCATAATGCAGAAGACTGTAAATAAACCATCATAATGCAGAAGACAAGTAAATGATCGTCTAGCTCCAGTTTATGCCCTTTATGTTTATTAAGGATGAGATTGCTTTTAGTAATCTTAAAAGCAAATATCTTTGTAACATCCGGGTCTCAATGACTTGTGCCCAGCTGGGATATCAGGATGGGTGTTTGTTGCACTTGACAGCTTGTATCTGTAGACAGGTGTCTTACTAATATGGAAGAAATTTGAACTCTTCAGTTATATAATGGAGAAGTAAATGATTTTCCAGAAATTATTACTTGTTATCAAAGGAAAGTGGGGAAGTGAAGGCTGTTTCCTGAGCCACCGCTGTTGTAGTCACTGCAGACCTGCTTGTGTCTTTGCCATTTGCTCGCTGGGACATCCAATTAATTAGACTGAACTTGCTTCCTTTTCTATCTACCCATCTTGGATTAGTAGTTTAGAGGGTGTGTATGAAAGACTGAAGCTCCTGGCACTGCAAGCATATGAATAGTCTTATTCAGAAGACTAGTCTCACTGCATGAAAGACCAAGAAGTCATCACACAAAAGATAAAAGTAAAAATACTTGGGTTTTTACATCTGTAATATTATGAAACATTCAAATTCTTCTGAAGCAAAAATCCTTCAATTCAAACACAAGGTCACTAAGTTCCATGCTTTTATTTGAGTATATTATATTTTTATAGAAGCACAACAGAAATTAGCAGTTGTAACAGCCTCCCGCTGTACACCAGAGCACAACCTGAATCAGGTTGTACCTGTCCCTCATGCAGATGTTAGCCTCTCAAGCAGCCCATGTGACACCCACAGAAATGCTCACAGGCAGCCCATGGGTATCCTGTCTGTACACCAATGCAGCATGGTGACCCGCAAACTCTGGGGTGTGCTTGCTTCCTCTCAGATCCCCCTGCTTTAGCAGGTGGCTTGACATTGCATAGCACAGGGTCTATGCCTGACAAGGCTGCATCTATTCTAGAGGAAGAGTGTGGAGCATCCCTCAAAAGGCAGCTGAGATACACCGACTCAGACCAGATATGAAACCAGAATTACTCACATCCTTTTCTGCAGTATCATTTTCTCAAGTGCATCTTCCTCTGCTCCACAAGAAGAAAACAGCTGTGGAAATCCTGTGTTCTCTTCCCAGATTTTTGCTGGCACTCTGACATCTTGTGTAAAGAAGTATAATGGTCCCAGCTTATTTTAAGGTAAACAGTATCTTGTAATCCATCTTTGCTTGATTTGATGAATTATCTTTCTTGTCCCACGTATTTGTTAATAGCTTTGCCTACTGTCTAGGAAAAATACCTGTCCAGTGGCTTAGCTTTCATGGAATCTGGAAAAATGTAAATTGCCTGTTCTGCAAACCAAAATGCATATGAACAGTTCTTTGAATAAAATGATCAGGACTACTAATGACACTCATAGGTCTTGTGAGACGAGATTTACTCCATATTATATTTTACTTCAATAGAATGTAGCAAGTAATAGATAACATTACTTACACAAATGTTTTCCTAACTGATTTCTGAATATATTAAGACACAGGTTAGCAGGTTGAGTATCTTAAACTGATGGAAAATGTTAGCAATTAAACATTTCTTCTAAGGATTTTGAAAATGTGATGAGAAGCAAACTAAATCTGGTTATACTAACATCTTGAAGAAGGCCTGAACCTTCTTTATAGCACTGCTCTGAAGGCTCTAGTCTTGTTGAAGAAATTTCAGCAGCAGTTCTCATGAGGCAAAGTGAAGAAGTCAATCAGAACGTGCTTACATCTCTGTGCAGGTGACAGTGCAGCTGCTGGATTAAAAGCCCTTGTGCTGACTTTGGGTGTATCTTCATTTTGCTTGTAAAACTACCTTAACAAAACAGCCTCCTTTGCTATGTTTTCCAGGATGCGGTGTTTCACTGTTGTCATACAACTGCTAATGAAAAAGACATGTAAGCACAAATGTATTCTGTTCTGCTAGCATTAGCAGTAATAGTGGACTATGCTGCTATTGAAAGAGAAGGAAGTTACAGTAAAAGCTGGATTCTCTTCTTCCATAGAGTTTTATAGTAGGACTGCTGCCATCAGATTTTGTATATGTGGGAGATTAAACATCAAAATGAGCCTTTGCAAATACTGTGAACTTTAAGGAATCTTGGGTGGAATTGTGACAGAGCCTTTTACAGGGAATGGCAGTGCTTTCGACGATCTTAATGGTTAGTGATTGCATTTTAAGTTAGAAATTTTAATTGCTAAGCAGAGCTATAAAGAGGAATCTAACCATTTTCATGGTCTGTTGCATTTGCAAACAAGGTTTTCTGGCCCAAATAGTTGTACAATAACACCTGAAATGGATCTCTATAGAAGTGAATTTCCCAAAAGCCTAAGTTGCCTAGAAGAAATGACTTCCTACAGTAACAAAGGATTTTCTGAACAGTTGTGTAACATGTATTTCTTACATTCTCCTATAGGGAACTGAAAATTGACCTTTCAGAAAGAGGGAGTTTGGAGCAATTACTTTCTCTTCAGTAGTCTCTTTGAAATTTTGCTTTACAGAATTTAACCTTAGAGATTCCTTCCCCTGTTTTTCCTCAAGGCAAGTATAGTTTGATCACTGACATGCTCTCTCTGTGGGCTAAACCTAGTTTTATTTTTAAAAAAATGTTGAGCTCACTGGAGCATGTAACTTGCCATACTGCATTATGTTCATTTAGCCCACTTGTGTATCTATAGCTGTTGTCAATTCCCAATGCTTCTGAGAAGATGTGCAAACACAGACATATTTTCAACAGAATTGGGGTGATGGAGACTTCAATGTAATTGCTAACTTGTTTAAACTTTGTGTTTCCAACTGTTTGTTTTTTTTAAATACCTCTTATATGAATAATCTATACCCACAAATACAGTAAGTCAGGACAAGAGATTACTGCCCTCCCTCTTGGACTCTTGCTGTGTGTTTTGACTTCAATAACATCCTGGAGCAGTGAGTTCCAATCTATTTTGTTCTTTGATGAAAAGACAACACCTGGTTTCAAATATATGAGTTGTCAGCTACACAGTCTGCCTCCTCTTGTACTACAAGACTAAGAAAATGAAAGGTCACAAACCATGTTCTCTATTCTATTTTTATGTTTGCAAGCCTTTTGCTAGATCTTGACCCAGAATTTCTAAGGAATATTTACTGAAAAGTGACCTGGAACAATACTGTACTTCCCATTTACAAACTGTTTACCAAAACAGAATTTAGAAAGGAGGAAAGTAAAGGAAGGAAAATGGGACAGCAACTACACGTTTGCTAAAGGACAGTAGTTTAGAGTTGTCTTGTGGTTTTCTTAGGGCAGATGACAGCTATTTACCTCCTTAGGTAGTACATTATTCACTGCTACTTAGTTTCAACTACAGTGGATTGACCACCTGCCTCAATTTAGGCTGTTGCATGCTGAAGTGTCACCATGTAATGTGGGCTAGTTGCTCCCAGTCCCTGTTGTCCTTTTTTACTGACCATCCTGCTGGTTGTTTATTAATCACTCAGTGATTTTGTGCTTTTTCATAGATCACATATAAATAATCCTAGTTGTTACAGGCCTTTCTGTTCCCCTTCTAGGAGCTGCTGCAATGTCAGGCTGAAAGGGAGGTTTTAGATTAAGATGACTGCTAGCCCCAAGCACATTTACGCTGAGTTAGTTTGCCCAGGCTTTTCATACATTACTGTCATTGCATCACTGTTTCATATTTATACCATGGTGGCTGACTTGTTAACATAATATAATAAATAAGAAATATAAGAAAAATAATAAAACATAAACTTCCACAGAAAGTTTCAAGCCTGCTTATTCATTTCTGTTCAGTTCCTTTCCTATTCACAAGATGCCAACGGGGCACTCATCCCCTCTGGTTTTCCTTTCCTTTAGAGTATTCAGGAAAGGGTTAGGGGTCTTTTGTTTAGTTTAGTTTTGGTTTGGTTGGTTGGTGGCTTTTTTCTCCTAAGCCCCAGGCTTGCATATTTGGATCTCTTCTTATTTACTTAGTTTCTTGCGCAAAAAGTTCTAATTCAGTTAGAGGCCTTTTTTTTTCATGTCCCTTCAGTGTCTCCAAATGTCTCTTAATCCTGCAGTCTTTTAGGCTGCAACAGTCAGAGCTGTACAGAGATTTCAGCTGAGGATATGATCAGGGGACTGGAGCACCTCCCGTATGAAGATAGGCTGAGGAAGTTGGGGCTGTTCATCCTGGAGAAGAAAAGGCTGTGTGGGGACCTCATAGCAGCCTTCCAGTATCTGAAGGGGGCCCTATAGGGATGCTGGAGAGGGACTCTTCATTAGAGACTGTAGTAACAGGACAAGGGGTAACGGGTTAAAACTTAAACAGGGGAAGTTTAGATTGGATATAAGGAGGAAATTCTTTCCTGTTAGGGTGGTGAGGCACTGGAATGGGTTGCCCAGGGAGGTTGTGAATGCTCCATCCCTGGCAGTCTTCAAGGCCAGGTTGGACGAGGCCTTGGGTGATATGATTTAGCATAAGGTGTCCCTGCCCATGGCAGGGGGGTTGGAACTAGATGATCTTAAGGTCCCTTCCAACCCTAACTATTCTATGATTCTATGATATATGATCCATACATACATGTTGTTGATCATAGCCACATACTGTACTGTATATGTTGATAGCTCTGTCTTTTTCTGGAAACAATAATGTTAACATATAATGTGGAAGATTAATTTTTTAACTTCTCTCAACCTTGTGAAGACTTCATTTGCCATCGTGTTCCCTGTACGCCAACACTGATAAAATTCCCTCAGACTTTTGTAGATCGACAATAGAAATGAAGTTTGCGTGGCTCAGCTGAAGCAATGAGGAAAAAATTCTGAGCTGTACTTATATGATAGGAGATGAAGTAAGAAAGCAAGAAAAGGCAGATCTTTAAGCTACCAAACCTCTGTCTTCATGCAAAGCCTCAGTAGTTTTGACTGGCTCCATGTAGAAGAAACTCCATTTAGAAAACGATGAGCTGTCAACAGAGCAACCAGAGTAACTCTCCTCTTGATCTGTTAAGTGGGAGCAAGGAAACTGTTTTGTTTAAAAGAAACAAAAAATGGCCAAACCAGAGTTTTTAGGAGGAGGAATGCTTCATCTCATCTAATTAAACTCAAAAGACGAACATCTAAGCTACAGAGATGCATGCAGCAGACATGTTTGAACTACTCCCAGAATTCATTGACTCCAGGATGTAATAGAATTTTGAACTTTCAGATGGAAAAACCAGTAACCAAACCTGCTGGTTTCAATGTATGCTGCGAGTAGCCTTTAATGCCAAATGGTGAACTTAAAAATGTGTTATCTACAGTCTAGTCTGAACATCAGTTCAGAATATATGAAAAAATTGTGCATTGTTTAACAAGATAACTTACTTGGACCGGTACTTCTGCCTTCATAGTGGACCTCAGTTTTGTAACTATTTTCAGCCCAGCTTTTGTCCTCTAAGTTTGTCTCCAAGTTCACTTGGTATCTTTAAAACGTATCAGCCAACTTTAACCAAAGGCAACAAAGGCAGGGGCCTTGGAAGAAATTATTATCCTACAAATTTCATGTCAATAGCCATCAGGAAAGAAGAAAAAGAAAACTGAGGTGTCCCCAGTAGGAAGTACCATCTGAGCGATCCCGTAATGTCTGTCAACAGGGAATCCACACCAGGCAGAGCTCTCAAGTTTGCCTCAGCCTCTAGCAAAAAAATACAGCTACACCAAGTCAGTTACGGGGATCAGTTACCAAGCACCCACAACCTTAGCCAAACTAGTTTCATGGAAAAACGTACCTCTTTTGTAATTTCAATTTCAGCAGCATCTGAAATTTCAAAATCTGTCCTTATGTGCCATCCTTTCAATCTCTGTTTGCTACTGAACTTCATGAATGCCATGTAATATTAGCAGAATTTAGACCCTTAAAGGGACTAAGTCAAACTCATTTCCCATTTCAATTTAATCTTATTTCATTGCTTTGGTATTCTTGTAATATTCTAGCCTACCTGATTCTTCCAATGCCTTTGAGGTACTCTTAAGGATATATGCAAAAAATTGTGTCTTTTAATATTAATTCTAAAAGCAAATAATAATTCCTAAGTCTTTCAGACCTTCTTCATACACAGTGAAATGAAAAAGGAGCAGCCTTTACTTGAAGATATGGTACTCTGAAATTCTTAGCATCCTAGAATTATCTTTCTCCCTTTCCTGACTTGTTTTTCTTTGCTGAACTTTAATGTAGGATGGTTTGTAAGGTAAGGTTTGATTGCAACATAACTGCTACAAGATGGTGGGATGACTGGAGTGTTGGAATGGAAGGTTACAGGCTCTTTAGAAAAAGACAGGCCTGGCAGGTGGAGATGGGGAGTTGCTATTTACGGTAGGGATAGGCTGGAGAGTATGGAACTGTGTCTGGGGACAGGTGAGCAGTCAACAGAGAGTTTGTGGGTCAGGGTTAAAGGGAGAACAGTGATGGGAGACATTACTGTGGGGATCTGTTAAAGACCACCTGATCAAGAGGACTCCGTGGACGAATCACTCTACAGACAGATAGGAACAGCCTCACGCTCACAGGCCCTTGTTCTCATGGGGGACTTCAACCACCCTGATAGCTGTTGGAGCAACAGTACGGCCCGGCACAAGCAATCCAGGAGGTTCCTTGATTGTGTGGAAGACCACTTCCTTCTGCAAGTAATAGAGGAGCCGACAAGGAGAGGTGCCATGCTTGACCTCATGCTCACCAACAGGGAAGGGCTCGTTGGAAATGTGACGCTCCAGGGCAGCCTTGGATTTAAGATCCTCAGGACAGCGAGAAGAGCGTGCAGCAAGCTCACTGCCCTGGACTTCAGGAGAGCAGACTTTGGCCTCTTCAGGAACCTGCTTAGTAAGGTTCCATGGGATATAGCCCATAGTTGATATTCAAGGATCACCTGCTACAAGCTCAGGAGTGTTGCATCCCAACTAGAAGGAAGTGCAGCAGAAGGGCCAGGAGACCTCCTTGGATGGATAAGGAGCTGCTGAGGAAAATTCAAATGAAAAAAGAGGCTTATAAAAGGTGGAAGCAAGGACAGACGGCCTGGGAAGAGTACAGGGATGTTGTCCAGGAAGCTAGGGACCAGGTTAAGAAAGCTAAGGCCCAGTTAGAATTAAACTTGGCTAGGGATGTGAAAGATAACAGGAAGGTATTCTATAGGTACGTAGCGAATAAAAGACAGACTAGGGACAATGTAGGCCCCCTCTGGAAGCTATCAGGAGAACCGGCTCCACAGGATTTGGAGAAGGCTGAGGTTCTGAATGACTTCTTTGCCTCAGTCTTCACTGGCAAAGGCTCTGACCACACCACCCAAGTCTTGGAAGGCAGATGCAGGGACTGTGAGAATGAAGACCTTGGGCCCACTGTAGGAGAGGATCTGGTTCGAGACCATCTTAAAAACCTAAATGTACACAAGTCCACAGAACCTGATGAAATCCATCCACAGGTCCTGAAGGAGCTGGCAAATGAAGTTGCTAAGCCACTGTCCATCATATTTGAGAAATCATGGCAGTCAGGTGAAGGTCCCGACAACTGGAAAAAGGGAAATATAACCCCCATTTTCAAGAAGGGGAAAATGGATGACCCGGGGAACTACAGACCAGTCAATCTGACCTCTGTGCCTGGTAAATTCTTGGAGCAGATTCTCCTGGAGGGCATGCTAAGGCACATGAAAATGAACAAGGTGCTTGGTGACAGCCAGCATGGCTTCACTAAGGGGAAATCCTGCCTGACCAATTTGGTGGCCTTCTATGATGGGGCTACAGAACTGATGGACAGGGGTAGAGCAGTTGATGTCATCTACCTGGACTTGTGCAAAGCATTCGACACTGTCCCACACAACATCCTTGTCTCTAGACTGCAGAGACATCAATTTGATGGATGGACCACTCGGTGGATAAAGAACTGGCTGGATGGCCGCAAGCAAAGAGTTGTGGTCAATGGCTCAATGTCCAGCTGGAGACCAGTAACGAGTGGTGTCCCTCAGGGATCGGTGTTGGGACCGGTCTTGTTCAACATCTTTGTTGCTGACATGGGCAGTGGGATTGAGTGCGCCCTCAGCAAGTTTGCCGATGACACCAAGCTGTGTGGTTCGGTTGATATGCTGGAGAGAAGGAATGCCATCCAGAGGGACCTTGACACACTTGTGAGGTGGGCTGATGCCAACCTTATGTAGTTTAACCATGCCAAGTGCAAGGTCCTACACCTGGGTTGGAGCAATCCCAGGTACAGCTACAGGTTGGATTGGATATAAGGAATAAGTTCTTTACTGTGAGGGTGGTGAGGCTATAATGGGTTGCCCAGGGAGGTTGTGAATGCTCTATCCCTGGCAGTGTTCAAGGCCAGGTTGGACGAAGCCTTGTTTGGCATAGTTTAGTGTGAGGTGTCCCTGCCCATGGCAGGGGGGTTGGAACTTGATGATCTTAAGGTCCTTTCCAATCCTAACTATTCTATGATTCTAAGATGAGGTGCCCTCTTACGGCTAAATTACCTCCTGGATTCAAAATTGCATCTTTGTGGGTCTGATGATGGTTAAACCTTGATATAAACCTAGTTCTGCAAATGAAATGTCAAAAATGCCTTGATACATTCTTCACTTGCTATGCTTGTGAGGTGAAAAAAAAGATTCTGTGGGTTTATCCACTTCACTGGTAGAGCTGTAGCTGGTTTTAATGACACATGCTTTGCTAGTATCAGTTCAGACTTTTTATTCCTGAATTCATAGAATCATCATATGGTTTAGGTTGGAAGGGACCTTAAAGCTCATCCAGTTTCAACCCCCCTGCCATGGGCAGGGACACCTTCCACTAGACCATGTTGCCCAAGGCTCTGTCCAACCTGTCCTTGAACAGTGCCAGTTATGGGGAAGCCACAGCTTCCTTGGGCAACCTGTTTCAGAGCCTCACTGCCCTCACAGTGAAAAATTTCTTCCTAATGTCTAACCTGGATTTACCTCTGTGAGAAGCCATTACCCTGTGTCTTATCACTACATGCCCTGTTAAAAGGTCTCTCTCCAGCTCCCTTGTAGCACCCCCTTCAGGTACTGAAAGCTGCTCTAAGGTCTCCCTGGAACCTTCTCTTCTCCAGGCTGAACAATCCCAGCTCTTTCAGCCTATC